TGGGGGGGGGGGGGGTCCAAGTCCTATTCCTACCCCTGCACGGGTCCCCTGCATCCCGCCCTGGGGACCAAACTCCCTGGAGCCCCTGGTGCAAAGGGGGCTGATACTCAGCCATGAGGAGCGGCAAGGCCCGGGCTGACCTGGTGGCGCCAGAGGCCTGAGCTGGGCGGCCATGGGGTTTATGAGCACTTTTGGTTTTGGTGGCCGAACTCACCCAGAACTTGACCAGGAAGAAGGCGTGAGGGGGCCCACGATCGTACAGCTCCCGCAGACCCCCCTTTTTCTCAGGGAATTTGTCATAGATCTGCCGAACGTCCACGCTCTCGAGCGGGGGAGCTCCAGGGCTCGGGCAGTGCTGGCTGATGTGTACGAACAGGTGCCTCTGGTACTGGGGAGAAAGAGCCGTCGGTGAGGAGTGGGAGATGAGCTGGACCCCCGGCCCGCACTGCCGAAGCCCATCTCACACCCTGTCGCCACCCCCAGAACTCCTGCTAGCTGTTCCGCCCTGTCCACCCAGACCCTGAGCCCAGCTCCCAGGCATCTCTCCACTCTCTTCCGCCCCTTCATTCCCATAGTACCTCAGTCCCCAAGCCCTGTCCCCTACTCTCCATCCTCATAGGCCTGTCCTCTCCCACTGTCACCCCAGGGGGGGGGGGGGGTCCAAGTCCTATTCCTACCCCTGCACGGGTCCCCTGCATCCCGCCCTGGGGACCAAACTCCCTGGAGCCCCTGGTGCAAAGGGGGCTGATACTCAGCCATGAGGAGCGGCAAGGCCCGGGCTGACCTGGTGGCGCCAGAGGCCTGAGCTGGGCGGCCATGGGGTTTATGAGCACTTTTGGTTTTGGTGGCCGAACTCACCCAGAACTTGACCAGGAAGAAGGCGTGAGGGGGCCCACGATCGTACAGCTCCCGCAGACCCCCCTTTTTCTCAGGGAATTTGTCATAGATCTGCCGAACGTCCACGCTCTCGAGCGGGGGAGCTCCAGGGCTCGGGCAGTGCTGGCTGATGTGTACGAACAGATGCCTCTGGTACTGGCGAGAAAGAGCCGTCGGTGAGGAGTGGGAGATGGGCTGGACCCCCGGCCCGCACTGCCGAAGCCCACCTCACACCCTGTCGCCACCCCCAGAACTCCTGCTAGCTGTTCCGCCCTGTCCACCCAGACCCTGAGCCCAGCTCCCAGGCATCTCTCCACTGTCTTCTGCCCCTTCATTCCCATAGTACCTCAGTCCCCAAGCCCTGTCCCCTACTCTCCATCCTCATAGGCCTGTCCTCTCCCACTGTCACACCAGCCTCCTGCCTGGCCTCCCAGCCTCCCATCTCTCCTCCCCAGTTCATCAGTCGTATGGCTCCAGAGCTGACCCTTGACCTCCCCTGCTCATGATTTTCCCATGGCTCCCCAGCACCCCCAGGACAAAGACCATACCCCTCAACCTGGCCATGTTTTGAATAGCTGTTCATAAATGTCCCATCAATGGAGGGATGGGTGGATGGGAATCCACATAGCCCACATTAAGACTGTCTCTCTGGTCCCATTCTTATCACTTCTTGTCCATGTCCTGAAATCTTCCCCATTTTTTCTTCTGACACAAATCCTCCTCCATCTTTCCAGGTCATCCAAATCTGCCTCTTTCTGGAAGCCTCCACTGACCATACGCAGATGGGTTCTCTCTACCACCTCCAGGTGCCCCATCACCAGGAGAAAGTCTGGGTCCCTGAGCTTGGTAATGCCAGCTCCTCCAGAACCAGCTCCTGTCCAAATAGCCACAGCCTCATCAGCTTCCCACCATAGTCATTATTTTGTTTCTCTGAAAGCCTCAATGTTGTTTCTACCTCTGTACCTGAAGCATCCAGTTCTGCACATGGCAAACTCCTATGTAACCCTCAAAGCCCAACTCACATGTTGTCATCTCAGGGAAGCAAGCCTTCACTGACTCTCCAGGCAGAATTACTCCTCTGTACACCCACAAAAGCTTGAGCTTCCCCCATCCTAGCACATACTCGGACATCGATTGAGAATCTGTTGTGTAGAGGTACTACCCTGGGTCCCAGGGCTACCAGGTAAAGTCCCTGACCTCATGGAGCTCACAGTCTACTGGCAGAGACAGAACAAATTTCAAATCATCTTATGGATAATATAAATTTTGGAGAGTCATGCACACTATGAGAAAAGTCCTAATAAAGCATAGTAAGGGAGTGGAGAGTGAAGGCAGCCAGCATTTTCCATAGGGTGGTTTGGGAAAACCAACCTGAGAAGATAATCAAGCCGGAACCTGAATGAACGGAGGGACGGAATGGGGATATCTGGGGAAAGCACACTCCAGGCGGCAGGAACAGCAGATGCAAAGGCCCTGAAGCAGGAGTGGGCTGGCGTGTGTGAGAAAGGGCATGGGGGCCAGTGTGGCCAGAGCTGAGCAAACAAGGGTGAGAGGGCAGGAGGTAAGGGCAGAGCAGGACTGAGGGTCAGATGGCTCATAACTTTGTGGGCAACTGAGAGGACTTCAGCTTTTGCTCCAAGTGAGATGGGAGGGTTTTATCCCAATTTGACTTGGGTTTTACCAAAACCACTATATACAGGAATTGGTGTTTATGTGGCTGTGACAGAGACAATGTGTTCACAAACACTAGTGACTTTTCACACAGCTAAACTACATTTCCCAGACTCCTCTGCAGTTACATGTGATCACATGACTAAGTTCTGGCCAATGGGATGTGAGCAGACCTGCTAGTTGCCACTTCCAAGCCAGACCCATACAGCCCTTCACTTCCACCATCTGCCAGCCAGATGCAGAGAATCCAGCAGCAAATTCTGAAGCCCTAGAAAATGGCAGAGCCACAAAATGGAAAAAGCCTGGATTCCCCGAATCACTGGGTGGGAGGCTGCTGTTGAACACCCACGCTGAAATGTTACATGAGTGAGAAACTTCTATGATGTTTCTGGGTGTTGCCCAGGCCAATATGGCATCTGTCTCCATCCTAGCCCAGGAAAAGCTCAAGCCTAGAAACAAGATCTGCTTCCCCAAGTTCCCAGTACCCACCACAAGCCTGGTGCACACTAGACACTCAGAAGAATGAATAAATGATGTCTTAGAGTTTCTCTGACCTTCCCAACCCACAACCTCATGACCTTCCTATTCCTTTATGCTAAGAGTTGTCAAAATGTGGTCCCAGCAGCATCAACATCATCTGGGAGCTTATTAAATTCAAATTCTCACCCAGCTGGCATGGCTCAGTGGTTGAGAGTCGACCTATGAACCAGGAAATCACAGTTCGATTCCCGGTCAGGGCACATGCCGGGTTTGCAGGCTGGATCCCCAACGTGAGGTTTGCAGGAGGCAGCCAGTCAATGATTCTCTCTCATCATTGACATTTCCATCTCTCTCTCCTCCTCCCTTCCTCTCAATAAAATAATATTTTTTAAAAAAATTCAAACTCTCAGGCCCCACACTAAACCTACTGAATCAGATATTCTGAGTGCGAGACTCAGCAATCTGTGTGTGTGTTGTTGTTTTTGTCTTATTTTAAATATATACACTACTTTATGCTTTCCCTTCTTATAACCAAAACACCCACAGCAACTATCCTAAAATTGGACTTACAGAGTCAACTGCATCCGGGGGTTCCACAAAGGCCGAGAATTCCACCAGCTGTAACCGGGCAGTGCCCAGGGCCCGAGCCTGCCAGGCTGGCGGTGACGGAGCAGGTGGGGGCAGGGCAGGGGGTGAGAGGGCTTGGGGGGGCTCGTACCCTAGAGAGAGAAGAACAAATAATAAAAATTGCTAACATTTATGGAATATATCAAGCACTGTTCTCTCTTGCCTGCCTCCACTTAGAAGCTGAAAAAGCTAAATACTCACTTTCCCAGCCTCCCTTCCAGCTAGAGGTGGCCATGTGACACAGTCCTGGCCAATGAGACGTTAGGGGAAATCTGCTCGGGGGCTTCTGGGAAGGAGTTTCTTCCTGAATGAAAAAGACAGAACTTTGGGAGGAGAAAGCTTTTGGTTCTGGTCAAGTCCTGCTTGGGACATGGTGCCTGGAGTCACAACAGTCATCTGGGGACAGGAAGAGAGAGGCCAGGGGACCTAGAGAGACGCTCGTCCTGATATCGCTGAGGTGCCGAGCCAGCACGTTAGCAGCCCACCTTCAGACTTTTTGTTACGTGGAAGCATTTAAGCCAGCGGTTCTTAACCTGTGGGTCGCGACCCCTTTGGGGGTTGAACGACCCTTTCACAGGGGTCGCCTTTACGATTCATAACAGTAGCAAAATTACAGTTATGAAGTAGC